ATGACACACTTCCTGCTGCCAGTTGGTGGCGGTATAATTTTGACTCACAATAGTCACATCCATGTGATCGTCCTCTTACAGCGAACACACTGCTGAAGTTTCATCAAGATCGGTTGATGTGTGCTGAAGTTATGATACACTTCCTGTTTCACGTTTCTCGCCATAATTTTGTTTCCTCGCCACGGCCAAACCGTTCGAGATATCAAAAATCCCCTCGCAAACTTTCATCCTCAATGCCTTGACTTCACGCTGACCGAGTTTCGTCGAATTTGGATCAAAGCTCTAGGAGGAGTATTAAAAATTCCATTGCGAGTGTTTTACGAACAACCCTAAATAGCCGACTTCCTGTTGGGCTGGGGTAAAAAGTAAAAGCACGAGGTATAGATGAAACGATGAGATCAACATGTGTACCGAGTTTCATATTATTACATGCAAGCGTGTTTGATTTATGGACCAAGTGTTCGGACCCCGTTCCAGGGGGCGCTGTCTAGCCCCCCTGCCACGCCCGGGTACCATCTTCAGCCCGGCCCTGATGGCCGCGGGTTCTGACCCGTGTGCAAAGTTTCAAGAGTTTTTGAGCATGTTAAGGGCCCCAAAAGTGCCCGAATAGTCGTATAAATAATAATAATAATAATAATAATAATAATAATAATCCTAAGGAAAACAATAGGGCCTTCGCCCTTTCAGGGCTTGGGCCCTAATAATCCTTAGGAAAACAATAGGGCCTTCGCCCTTTCAGGGCTTGGGCCCTAATAATAATAATAGAAAAGAATAATCCTAAGGAAAACAATAGGGCCTTCGCCCTTTCAGGGCTTGGGCCCTAATTAAAGCTGCAAGCAGCATTTAGCGGGGTTCAAGCAGTTTAGGCCTTTACGGCCTTTAAGCACAAAAGCATCAAAAGACATTAAGTTTTATGTAGCAAGCATTATTTAACATGATAAACCATATTTCAATGTAAATTTTCATGATTTACCATGTTCTAGTATGATTTACCATGAATCTAACATGATTTTCCATAGTTTACCTTGATATACCATGTTTTAGGATGGTTTACCACAATATAGCAAGTGAAAAGACTATTAATAAGAAAAGTGGCCAGCAGAGGGCAGTAGAAGACCACTTATTGGCACACTTCCATTTTGAAATACTTTGTTTCTCCAATATTCTGCACTAAAGCAAACCATTTTTTTCATGTTAACTTCATAAAGCATGCTTACACACAAACGCACACACACACACACACACACACACACATTTATAGTGTGTACAGTATATGTATAGTATGACTGCAAAACATTAACAAAAAGAAATTTGTTAAATTAACTATGCAAAATATAGTGTGTACTAGGGGTGGAGCCGAATACGGTATTCGGAAAGGCACAAATAATGTGTTTTTTACGAATACTTATTCCGAACAAATACTTAAAAAATATTTGTGTTCGGGAACAAGAAATACTGTATGTCAAAAAGCTGCGTTCCTCACAAGACCGCAGTGCGCGAGTTGAGTAAGTGACGTTCAGGAAGAGGTGACTGACACAGGCTGCTCCACACAGCAACAGAGAGGGCTCGGCTGAGCGAAAAAACACTTAACTGCAACACTATTTTTGTTGAATAGATGTTTGTACCTTAACTAGGTTCCAGAGGCAGTTTATAACTTTCGGGAAGCGGAGTTTGATCGGGAGTATATTCCATTATTGACGTCTGCAGACGGGTGCTCTCCTGTTCGCTCTGTTTACGTAGCTCTGATAGCTCGGTAACGGTAATTATTTGTTTCTTATATGGCTTGGTTGAATTCTAATGTAGAGTGCGGTCTGTTATTATAACAGGCCGCTGCTTATAAGTATAACACACCGTTGCCATGAAAAACAGAGCGTTGCCATGGATTCTAAACGTAGAGACAGAACGGACTATTTTTCTTTTTTATCGGCAATCGTTTTTTAAATCAATAAACTCCTGTTTATATCTATATTTTGAGTCAAATTATTGATTTACTTGGTAGGTAGCAATGTAATAAGCAGGGTAATGTAGAGCGAGGCGGTTGTTATAGCGAATATAAACCCGCAGGCTTTGCGTAATCCCTAACTTATTCTGTCTGTTAAGCGTCCTTCACCGTGGTGTTGGGGTTCATAATGTTCACAATTGTATTTTATTAGTTGTTGGTTTAACCATGGTTCATGAGGTAATGGCTGACTGTTATTTTCTTCTCAATGACTTTTCTTGTTACATGTTCATTGCTGGATTTATAGAAAAACACCAACCAATATTGCATAATGGATATAATTAAATAATTCATAATAGTAATTGAAAAGATTTCCTTTCTAATCTCTTTCAACTCCATTTCGCTTTTTCAATGAGACTCTGCCACTTCACCATGCACGACTCACCTGTTGCCTATAAATTGATTGTGAACCCTTTGGCTCATTCTTTGCACTCTTTCCTGGCACTCTGATGCATAACTGTGTCTTCATGAATTACGTGAGTCCATCTATTAATTTGATTGTGTTTACATTGTTTATGCCTTTTTATGATTTAATGTGACTGTCAGCCTGTGCGCTGCTAATTGATTAATTTGTTTGCCAGACATGTGCCCTGAGCCATGTTGTAAGATTGTTTGTTTCAATGATTTTTTTACTGCCTGTTTTATTGTGATTAGTACTCATATCTTTGTTCATTTATATCATTGTTCCTTTTGTGTTGATTGATCACTGTCACCAATTGTGTTATTTCTTTATCTCCTTATGCAACAACACACAAACAATGCATTGATCCAAAGTCAACAGGCACCTAAGACGAACTCTTTCATATTTTCGCTACATTACTGTGTTGTTGACTATTACTGACGGTAAGGTTGCACTGTTGACCCTCGCGCAGCCTCTCGAGCAGAAATCTACACAAATGAGCGCAGAACACACTCAGACCCCATTTACACCTGGTATTAAAATGCGATCTGTATCCAGATAAGTTATCCGGATAATAAAAAACGCATGTTAATGCAAGGTGTAAATGCGTTGTGATCGGATCGCGATTGGATCTGCCTGACCACATCTGGACCCAGATAGCAAACTGACATTGAATCAACGTGGAAATATGACATTGAAACAACGTTGATCTGACATTGTTTTGCTCATCGAATTAACGGTGAACCAACGTCAGACGCGTCATTCTTTCAAAACTAACGGAAAATCAACTTGAAATCAACGCGTTGTTTCAACGTTATGAAAGCAAACCAATTTTCGATTTCATTTAGCTTTGAAGAATGCCGCGTCTGACGTTGGTTCAACGTTAATTCGATGAGCAAATCAACGTTGTTTCAATGTCATGAGAGACGTCGTTTCCACGTTGATTCAATGTCAGTTTGCTGTCTGGGGAGGTAGTCTGGCTCGCATTGTGTCCGGATCTTTACTAGGTGTAAACGCAATCTGGTTGTTGAAACCACATATGTATATTTTACTCCTCCCAAAAAGGCAAAAAAATAAACGAGTGAGCTTGTTATATAGGCTATATATGTCATGTTATAGTCAGATATGACGGCGCTACTGCGACACGGATCACCCATCACCGCAGATGAGCAGCTGAGCGTCTATTCATCGAGCCAACGTGCAAACATCGCAAATAAAAGTGAAAGTAACTCACAGACGCTTAACACACAATCATCTTCAAGTAAAGAAACGAAATTATCTTACCAGCGGTGTTGCCACTCTTTTATTGATGTCTTTGATTTGGAAATTAGCTGATGATCAACGAAATGCAGCTCATATCTGTTGCTTTTGGTGTTGTTCAATCCATTAAATCTGCATACGCGGGAGTTTAAGATCGGATTTATATCCGTTTTGCAAAAACACATTTATGTGGCCAGGTGTAAATGGAATCAGTACTTATTATCCGGATAACTTGTCTGGATACAGATCGCATTTTAATACCAGGTGTAAATGGGGTCTCTTATTTTTCCTGAACACCATCACGATTGAAAATGTGACATTGATTTCCTACAACAGTTCAATAAACAGTAAAAAATTAAATCACTTACATTTTAGATGCTATATTGGCTGTTTTTGTTGTGTTTCAGCAGCGAAAATAGTTCCAAACAATAATCACAACAGAACCACGGCACATGTCACAGGAACACTCGACGTGTTTTCATTACTGAATCATTCAGCATTTTGAACGAATCGATTGAGTCAAAGATTCAAAGACACATTCAAAAACATCGGTCTCATTCTTGAATGATCAGCCGTTTGAACGAATCGTTTGAATGAATGAATTGAATGACTCACTCATTAAGACGGTCGCCTGCCACCACCTACTGGCGGTTTAGTGTTAAATGTTTAAAAGTAGTATCATTCTTTCCCAGTTTCTTATGTAAATTTAAATAAATGTCATAACATTATTTTATGCAATTGTGATTTTTCAGTGTAAATGATTTAATTTGATCAGCCCCTAGAGTAACAGCCCATAGTGTCTTATTATTCGAAATAATACACCCGAATTTATAGTTTACCCACCTCTTTTTTTACCACCCCAGCTGGCATTTTAACGTTGATTCACCGGTGAAACAACGTCAGGGACCAAGGTTGGATCAACATTGGATTATGTTTCGATTTTGCAAATCTAATCAACGTTGATTTTGCAACGTTGTTTCACCGTTGACATCATGAATGTTGTTTCACTGTTGATGTCGCGACGTTGTTTCACGATCTCTCCTTTCAATATTGGTGAGTAAAAGTTGTATGTCGAAGTTAAACCAACATTTAATTATGCTTCGGTTTTGCAAATTGAATCAACGTTGCTATCGTGATATTGTTTAAGTCTTACCATTCAACATGGGAGAATACAATTATACATTAAATTACAACGTAGTTTGAATACACGATCATAACAATGCTAACTGATTTAGTGATTAACTGTACATACTGTAGTCTACACTAAAACATTGTTTAATGTCAAATGACTGACAGCAATGGCTTAATTACAAACACATTTAATAAAGAGTTAGCACATGCTCAAGATTGTAAAACAAGTTTTATTTTGGAAAACAAAACAAAAAAGTCTAAAAATACTTTCTACATCTGAAAACTTTAACTTGCAGTGTTTTCAAAGTAATAAGTAAAGTACAAATCTGAATGGAATACTTAAAAGACAGTTTTTGTTCAATTACAGTAAAACTTAGATGAAATACATTTAATATTTTAAGTGTACAGTAACAGTAGAAAAACTTAGCATCTCAATAAAATGCGACAGCCTTTTGCATTGCTCTAGTAGAGTCCCAGCTTGAGGTCTGCTCCGATGCCATCGCTTCCTCTTGCTCCCTCTTCACTTCTTGTCTGCTCTCTGTACGATCCTGTAGCTCATAAATAAAAGCAAAAACAGTTAAAACTGAATACAAAATTATTTACAAGATTTTCACTTACACTGTTCAATAACAGTCGAGTTGAAAAAGTATACAACTCTATCCAAGACATGTTATGTATTCAGATGTAAATGTACAATATCAACCATAATTAACAAGCAGTTCTTCAGAGCCCCAAGGTGGAATTGATTGCTGCTTAATATTAAAGGTCACTTTGAAATTAATTTTTGATATGTTTTATCTTACCTCAAGGGCATCCAAGATGTAGGTGTCTTTGTTTCCACAGTATTTTCAATTTTGACATTTTTAGGTCAAACCATTCTTGTCTGTCAGTCATATAATGGAGGTCTATGGTCACCACCTCAAAGAGCATGCAAAGAAGTCCAGATTAAACATGATTTAATGACTCATAAATGTAAGTACACATTGATGGCCTAAGACACGAAACGAACGGTTTGTGTGAGAAAACCAACAGTATTTAGGCCTATATTGTTTTTACCTCTTGTAACCACAGCCAAGTCCAAGTGATCTGAAGGCATAATCGGTCTGCGCAAGCGCCGGAAGTGATTCGTTGTTTACACAGAGATTTCGGAAGTTTTAACTGTCACTGGGATCTAAACATATTTAGATATATAGGAAATCGCAATAAAACTTCCGAATCTCTGTGTAAAAAATGAATGACGTACACACGCAAGAGATCACTCCCGGCGCATGCGCAGACCGAAGCGCCCGTGCCTTCAGATCAGTTGGACGTGGCTGTGGTTACAAGAGGTAAAAACGAAATAAATACTGTTAGTTTTCTCACACAAACTGCTCGTTTCGTGTCTTAGGCCATCAATGTGTACTTACATTTACGAGTCATTAAATCATGTTTAATCTGGACTTCTCTGTGCTGCTCTTTGAGGTGGGCCCCATAAATCTCCATTACACGACTGACAGACAAGAACGGTTTGACCTAAAAATGTCAAAATTGAAAATACTCTGGAAACAAAGACACCATCTTGGATGCCCTTGAGGTAAGATAAAACATATCAAAAATTAATTTCAAAGTGAACTATCCCTTTGAACCGTGATTAATTTTTCAGGATTCGTTGAAAGTTCAAGAGAAAAGCAATTAATTAAAATATATATATGAAGAGTTCATATGCAAAAGTCTCTAAATGCCATTTGAAATTTTCTTCTTTAATGATGATTTTTATCAAACTTGTATATTTGAGTTCAGTAATTTCACTTAAATATTATTTAAGTGAAATTACTGAACTTAAATATACAAGCTTGATAAAAATCATCATTAAAGAAGAAAATTTCAAATGGCATTTAGAGGCTTTTGCATCTGAACTCTTCATATATATATATTGCATTACTATAAATGTCTTTACTGTCACTTTTGATCAATTTAATGTGTCCTTTCTGAAGAAAAGTATTTCTATTTTATATATATATATAAAAAAAAAAATCATATTGACCCCAAACTTTTGAACGGTAGTGTACATTTTTATTAAATTGAGTAAAATCAAATCATAAAAGGTCAATGAATGCATACCAGAAGTGATAGCAGCTAAAGAAAAATCCTCCACCAAATTGCCAGTAATCATATGGATCCTTGGTGAGTCTGGAAGGGGAAACAAGAAATGATTCAATGAAAAGCTCTAAAAAAGCCCTAAAAAAGCGGGATTTTTTTTTCATTCCATAAACAATCTTAAAATGTATTTAATACTACAAACGTTTGCCATTATAACACATTCACACAACATGAACAGAGTAGGCTACTGTCATCTTTGAGACTGTTAGTTATTACATGATTAAAATGTAAACGCATATTTAAAGCATGGCAATCCCATCAGAAAAATGTGTATCATAGAAAGGGAAGCACACAAAAAAGCCAACTGGTACATCAAAATCAAGCCATAATATAATGTTACCTGCAGCCTTTATCCTGTTATGACATGTCTGAGGGTCTTTCCCTTAATGTTTTCCAGTGAATTAAAGACAGGACTGATGAAGGTAGGTGACATGACCTTTCACTGCGGCACGTCAGAGGAAAAAAGACAAAAGTACAAAAAGTTACTCAGACTTTCTATCAGTAAATGTCTTTCTTTGATGATGAGAATCATACTTTATACTTTATATTAATCCCAGTGTAGGTTTTCGAAAGAGTGTGTAAAATTGACAAGAAACAAAACAAAAACTTACTGTAGTTGGTGGATTTGTCTCTATTTGGGTGTTCTCCCCCCGAAAAAATCATATTCCAATGCTTAACCTAAAACAAATAAACAAATATAATCATTGGCAGTTATCAGGGTTCGAGGTTTTGAACTTCTAATGAATAAATTACGATTTTATCACTTTATTCCGAGACTAATTACCTCTCATGCGTTTAAGCTAACACAAACCACCAACAACAACGCACAGCAGTGTCAGATGGTAACGTAAGATACATGAATAAACTTAATAATATCTCTAGCGCGCTTCACTGATGCAGTAGAAAAACACTCATTTGCAGGCTGCTGCATTAGGCCTATGTCCGCTACCAGTTTGTAAAAATTTTGTCTACAGACAGTAAAAAATGAAGATAATGATCTTCATTAACGGGTGATTATCAGTTTATAGCGTTACCCACAAACTAAATTTACACTCTTTTCAACAGATTTCAACAGAACAGAACAGAACGTTAATACCTTTTAAACATTTATTGATATTTGTTAACATATCTAAAGTGAAACTGTGGTAACGACATACATTAAGGACGTTTAACGTTCACGTTAACGTTAGACTGTTAAGAATAAAAAATGTTTTCTTACCTTTAGTGATTTCGCCAGTATTTTTACAGACCACGTAACATTACGACCCCATCCTCTGTTCACATTCCAGCTTTTGTCCTTCATTGACATATCACAACTCAAATTCGCTCAAAATAAGAATTTAACAAGAATTTTTAAAATAATCCGTGTCCGACGGGGTAATAATCAGCAGAGCAGATGCTCACCTCATACCGACTCAAACAATAACGGACGTATTTTCAAACTTAAAATAGGCGCGCATTTTGTCATTGGCCAGTTTCCTGGAAGACAGAAAGATTAACCAATCAGGGTCAAAGTAAACCGGTGAAACAACCAATAACAGTAGTTTCAGCGTGGTAACGTAGCGAAATGTGTATAGAATATTTAGTTTGCAGTCTGTATTTATTTAATTAATTTGTCAAATGGTGTTTTCATGACAGTGTATGATTTAAAAAAAAAATAATAAAGCATGGTAAACTGTTAGGTAAGCACACAGTATTGTAAATCCACACAAAATCACAAAGCAAAAAGTTTCTGCTGCACTCTTGAGGTTGAAATTATTGGAGAGTTGTCTATAATGATAATAATTATATTTTAACATAGCCAAGGCTGTATTATCAGAATATCATTAAATGCTAATAATGATCATAAACTTTATAAGGCAGATTTCTGTTGTATGTGGTTGAAAACATTACGTTGTTCTAACGTACAGATCTTGTACAAATTTCAACGTTGATTTAGAAGTGTTTTCTTAACATTTTTCAACCGTTTAGCATTAAACGTTATATCAACGTTGTTTCAATGTTGAAACAACAACTGACATTATTTCAACCATATTTCAACGTTGAAGGTCGGTCGTATGCCAGCTGGGACTACACCTCTGACCATAGTGTACATTAATTTACCACGTTCTAGCATGATTTATCATTATTTACAGTGATTGGGGCTTGGATGATTGGATTTTAATGTGATTCTAGGAATATAGTATAGCTATTTACCACGTTAATAGCAATTATGTGAAGATTCAGAACAACTGAAGTGATAAACTTTGACAAAAAAAAAATGATTGTGTTCAATATTTGACTAAATGTGATTGCAAATGTTAAAATAGTTAATTAATAAAGTCATAATATTAATTATAGTTGAGTAGTGAGACAATTACTATTTTGAACAGCAGAGGGCAGTAAAACACCACTTATTGGCTTAATAGACCATCATATTGATATCATTTCACCTTTTTAACTGTTATTTAGGCATATTCTGTCAGATCTGTCTGAAAATGTTCATGATTATTTAATGTCACATGTTCTGACTTGTTTATTGAAGAGATCAACGCTTTCAGGGACACTGAAAGTGTAGAAATAGATGGCTTCAACACACTAAATGTTGAAGCCATCCTATTATAGTCATCCACATGACGTAGTTCAACTTTTTCTTTTAATTATTTATCTAGAGAGTCCAGAGAATTGTACTGCACTAGTTTTAACATTATGATATGATCAGAGATGTACACACACACGCACACAAACACACACACACACACACACACACACACACACACACACCTTTGGGATATTTCTTTGTAATCTAATGTTGTAGGTAATCAACAGTGGTAGGTATTCATATCATTTATCTACAACTGAATGAGTGTGTGTAGATTTTAATTCAATATGACAGTTGTCATAGTACTTTTTGACTAAATGTGATTGTAAATGTTAAGTTAGTGAATTGATAAAGTCATAATATGAATTATACATGACAACTTACTATTTTGAACAGCAGGTGGCAGTAAAACTCCACTTATTGGCTTAACAGACCATCATTTTCACCTTTTTAACTGTTCTACAGGCATATTTTGTCCGATCTGTCTGAAAATGTTCATGATTATTTAATGTCACGTGTTCTGACTTGTTTATTGAAGAGATCAACGCTTTCAGGGACACTGAAAGTGTAGTAATAGATGGCTTCAACACAGTACATGTTGAAGCCATCCACATGAAGTAGTTCAACCTTTTCTTATAATTATTGATCTAGAGAGTCCAGAGAATTGTACTGCACTGGTTTTAACATTATGATATGATCAGAGATGGAAAACACCATTTACAGCCAATACTGGCAATTTACCATTGGAAACACATGGTTTTAAAGCTTTTTAACAGTTATAGCGCCACCTATGGTCCGATCTCCATGAAACTGTGCATGCTTCTTCAGCATGTTATGACACATATGCTCATCAATTTTTGTAAAGTTCTGAGTTTTCCTTTAGGATTTACAGGCTTTTGGGGGCTTTTTGTCACGCCCCCTTTTGTAAATGACCCTGTTATAGCAAGACAAATGACAAAGTTGAACTTTTTTTGGATAATTATTGATCAAGAGAGTCCAAAGAATTATCCTAGACTAGTCTGGTTCCGATCAGGCAAAAAACCAGGGACTAGTTCGCAAAAGTAGGTTTTTAACATATTCGTGAATATTTAACGAACGAATTGATTGACAGCAATGGTTCTTGAGGCAAAGTTGTTCATCATGAGGAGATCTATCAATTGATATACATTTTGTGGGGGTGTGTGCAACACCACGTGATTACAGAGCAATAAAACTCGTTAGCGCCAACTAGTGGCCGATTTCTTTCAAAATTTTTACAGACCTCTAAGGCCATGAGTCGAACATTCCCAACGAGTTTCGTTCCGATCGGCCTTCGTTAACCTTGTTTCATAGATGCTCAAACTTCATTGGCCGATGGCGGCCATGTTTTTTGAGATACACCAATGTCCTTATAGACTTACATGAGGCCTTGGACCAAGACACTGCATACCAATTTTCAAGTCAATCGGACTGACGGTCAGGTGTTTATCTGTTTTTTTTATTTTATAGCGCCACCTAGTGTTCAATCGTCGCGATTTTTTTACTGTCACCTCAAATTGAACTCTTACACATGTGTACCGAGTTTGGTGAAGATATCTCATTTACTTCTCGAGCTATAGCCATTTTAGTAAAATAGGCTCCTCCCACAACGTTTATTTTGCTTCCCCTAGCGACCAGAACGAGAAATTTCAACATTTTTTTGATAATTATTAATCTTCAGACTCCAGAGAACATTTCTGCACTGGTTTGGTTCCGATCGGGCAAAAATCCAGGGACTAGTTCGCAAAAGTAGTTTTTCGACAAAATTCAAAATGGCGGAAAATCTATCATGACGGAAATGAAATCGGAGATATACGTTTTTTTCGTCAGGTGACCAGCTTTCCAACGATATAAGACACTTGAGTGTACGACTTACGGTCTAGGAGTTATGAGCAGTTTCGCGCAATTGGTCGCTATAGCGCCACCTATGGGCCAATCGGGCTCATAATTTGATAACCTCTCCTCGATTTTTGTACTACCATCTGACAAAGTTTCAGAACTGCAGCACTTACGGTTTGGTCTGCACGATGCGTTTTACGGCAGAATAATAATAATAATAATAATAATTAAAGCTGCAAGCAGCATTTAGCGGGGTTCAAGCAGTTTAGGCCTTTAAGGCCTTTAAGCACAAAAGCATCAAAAGACATTAAGTTTTATGTAGCAAGCATTATTTACCATGATAAACCATATTTCAATGTAATTTTTCATGATTTACCATGTTCTAGTATGATTTTCCATGAATCTAACATGATTTTCCACAGTTTACCTTGATATACCATGTTATAGGATGGTTTACCACAATATAGAAAGAAAAGTGGCCAGCAGAGGGCAGTAGAAGACCACTTATTGGCACACTTCCATTTTGAAATACTTTGTTTCTCCAATATTCTGCACTAAAGCAAACCATTTTTTCATGTTAACTTCATAAAGCATGCTTACACACAAACGCACGCACACACACACACACACACACACACACACACACACACACACACACACATTTATAGTGTGTACAGTATATGTATAGTATGACTGCAAAACATTAACAAAAAATAATTTGTTAAATAAATTAACTATGCAAAATATAGTGTGTACTAGGGTTGGATCCGAATACGGTTTTCGGAAAGGCACAAATAATGTGTTTTTTACGAATAATTATTCCGAACAAAGACTTAAAAAAATATTTGTGTTTGGGAACAAGACGTACTGTATGTCAAAAAGCTGCGTTCCTCATGAGACTGCAGTGCGCGACTGACACAGGCTGCTCCACACAGCAACAGAGAGGGCTCGGCTGAGCGAAAAAACACTTAACTGCATCACTATTTTTGTTGAATAAATGTTTGTACCTTAACTAGGTTCCAGAGGCAGTTTATAACTTTCGGGAAGCGGAGTTTGATCGGGAGTATATTCCATTATTGACGTCTGCAGACGGGTGCTCTCCTATTCGCTCTGTTTACGTAGCTCTGATAGCTTGGTAACGGTAATTATTTGTTTCTTATATGGCTTGGTTGAATTCTAATGTAGAGTGCGGTCTGTTGTTATAACAGGCCGCTGCTTATAAGTATAACACACCGTTGCCATGAAAAACAGAGCGTTGCCATGGATTCTAAATGTAGAGACAGAACGGACTATTTTTCTTTTTTATCGGCAATCGTTTTTTAAATCAATAAACTCCTGTTTATATCTATATTTTGAGTCAAATTATTGATTTACTTGGTAGGTAGCAATGTAATAAGCAGGGTAATGTAGAGCGAGGCGGTTGTTATAGCGAATACAAACCCGCAGGGACATTGTTAAATGTCCTTCACCGTGGTGTTGGGGTTCATAGTGTTCACAATTGTATTTTATTAGTTGTTGGTTTAACCATGGTTAATGAGGTAATGGCTGACTGTTATTTTCTTCTCAATGACTTTTCTTGTTACATGTTCATTGCTGGATTTATAGAAAAACACCAACCAATATTGCATAATGGATATAATTAAATAATTCATAATAGTAATTGAAAAGATTTCCTTTCTAATCTCTTTCAACTCCATTTCGCTTTTTCAATGAGACTCTGCCACTTCACCATGCACGACTCACCTGTTGCCTATAAATTGATTGTGAACCCTTTGGCTCATTCTTTGCACTCTTTCCTGGCACTTTGATGTGTGTCTTCATGAATTACGTGAGTCCATCTATTAATTTGATTGTGTTTACATTGTTTATGCCTTTTTATGATTTAATGTGACTGTCAGCCTGTGCGCTGCTAATTGATTAATTTGTTTGCCAGACATGTGCCCTGAGCCATGTCGAAAGATTGTTTGTTTCAATGATTTTTTTACAGCCTGTTTTATTGTGATTAGTACTCATATCTTTGTTCATTTATATCATTGTTCCTTTTGTGTTGATTGATCACTGTCACCAATTGTATTATTTCTTTATCTCCTTATGCAACAACACACAAACAATGCATTGATCCAAAGTCAACAGGCATGATGCAATAAATTAAGACTGGTGTTGGAAAAAAACTAGTTTTCTCCCTGCCTCATTCATTGTTCCATATCATTTTACATCTTCTGACTCTATTGTAAAGTGTCACCAAAAATGCCTAATTCTGCTTCTCTATCTAGTGGACAACAGTGCTATTACAGCTAACTTATACACTATGCCATGAAGCATGATTGACCATAGTCAGGGATGTAGTGGAGGCTAAATGCACGTAAACGCCGTTTACGTATCTCCCAATATTCGGAAATAGCGTTTACCCACCTACCCATTACATAGGTAGCGTTTACCCATGTAGTGGAGTGCATTTTGCCTCCACTACATCCCTGACTATGGTAAATCATGCTAGATTCATGGCATACTGTATACGTTAGCTGTAATAGCACTGTTGTCCACTAGATAGAGAAGCAGAATTAGGCATTTTTGGTGACACTTTACAATAAGGTTCATTAGTTAACATTATTTAACTACATTAGT